GGAGGGGGGGCGGCCGGGAGGTGCCCGTGCGGAGGCTGCCGTGACAAAGGAGGGAGGGAGGAGGGGGCCTGTCGGAGGCTTGGGGTCCACTAGGACCCCTCCTCCTTTCAGAGCGCTGCGGGGAGGGAGAGAGCGGAGAGGGCAGCTGTGGGGCCGCGGGCCCCTTTCTTCCCTTCTTTTGGTGGGCGGGGAGGGGGTCCCTCGCCAGATCTGTCGTCCCAGTTCGCCCCTTGGTAGGGTGCCTTTTTCAGGGGGTGGCGGTCCCCCCGCCAACCCCCTCGCTCTCCCGCACCTCCCCCCCCCCCCAGGGCTGGCCACCCGCTGGTCCGCCTGCCCATCTGCTTGCCTTTGATGCTGACCAGAGCCAGCCTCTGTGCCGCCCCGAGGGCGTCGCGGGGTAGAGGGGGCCGTGCTTGCCGTCCCATAAACACTGGGGTTCTGGTATTCCCAGCAAGTCGCAGCAGGACTCCTGAGCCGCGCGGGACGGGGGGCCGGCCCCCCTCCCAGCCTTTCACCCCGGCCTTCCCCGCGCAGTCCCGGCCCTGAACTGGGTGGGAACCCTCTGGGGCCGGGAGTGGCCATCTAGGGATGGGGACAGCTCTGAGAGTCCCAAACCCAGGCAGAGACTCCTTGCCGGGCTCGGGGAGGACCGTCCGCATGGGTGGGGTCCCTCACCTGGTGCTCACACCTGCTTCAGTGGCCCCCTCCCTTTCCAGCCCATGGCTCTTCCCTCCTCTTACCCACTTTGATCTGCTTTTTCTCCAACTTCTCTTTGAAATCAGAGGGACCTGGATTCCAAGTTCATTTCTACTATTGGCCAAGTAATTCCCTTCTCCCTGTGCCCGGGTTATGTCATCTGCAAAATGGGCACAGTTGTAGGTCCCTTGCAAGGTTATCTTGGAGATTTCGTGAAACTAGGTGAGTTATGTGGGCACAAGGTTTATAGGGGCTCAGTAGATGTTGTTTCTCCAAGCCCCTTAACTTGTCAGTTGTCACACTGGAAGAATTTCAATAGAAGGCATATAAATTAGAGGTTACAGGTTGAAAGTGTACCAGACTTTCTTCTCTTTACGGCATCTCCACGCCTGAAAACATTCCATGTAGAGCAGAGAAGAGTAGCATAATCAGCGGGTAGACTGAGTCAGGGTCTCATAGCCTTCAGTAACCCTGTGTGAAACATTGCAAGATGGTATCAGGGAGATAGCCTGGGTGCAAATTCTTCTCGGCTGTTGAGCAACCATGTGACCTTGAGCAAGCTACTAAACCTTTCTGGGCCTTGATTTTCTCATCTTTAAAATGGGATAATAATAGCACAGCCCTCATGGTTGTGAGGTTTAAATAAGTTTATGTTTGGAAAGTCCTTAGGACAGGGCTTGGTACATAGAAACCGCTCAGTGTTAGCTGTCATTATTGTTAGGTGTCAGGCACAGGCTTCATTGTTGTACACGCTGCACGGAGCCAGGTGACTACCTGCGGTGGGGGCGGTGCTTGACCACGGTCCCTTGGGTGCTCTGTCTTTTGTTTTTTTTAAATTTTAAAATGTTTTTTATTTATTTCTGAGAGATAGAGAGACAGCATGAGCAGGGGAGGGTCAGAGAGAGAGGGAGACGCAGAATCGGAAACAGGTTCCAGGCTCTGAGCTAGCTGTCAGCACAGAGCCTGATGTGGGGCCCGAACCCACGAACCGCGAGATCGTGACCTGAGCCGAAGTTGGACGCTTAACCGACTGAGCCACCCAGGCGCCCCAGCTCTGTCTTGTTAAGTGAGGATAAGCAGGTGTATCCGGATCCAGGCCTACGGCCTTGCCACTTCGGGTTATGGCCACAGCTCCCTTTATCCTTGGACAAAGCGGGAACGAGTCCCCTGATGGACTGCACTCGTGGCCCTGAGCGTAGCTCCCAGAGCCAGATCAATTGCAGCAGGCCTGGTGTGCAGCTCCGGAACCGGATGGGGACCTCTCAGAGGGCAGCCGAGAGGGGGAACCGGAGAATGTGCCTCGCAAGAGCAGCTAGAACACTTGGTGGCTATTACCCACAGAGCTCTGGGCCCTGGGCCACTTCCACAAATCTGTGACTGTTGCCAGGCTCCTGTCACACACCAGCACCCCTGCACGAGTGCACTCGGTGCTCTGGTCTGGATGTCTGTGTCCCACCCCGCCAGATCCGTGTGTTAGTGTCCGAACTCCCAGAAGGCGGAGACGCAGGTTCCCCTGTTCGGACTGGTGCAGACGCAGTGCAGGAAGGTGCTCCCGTGAGGTTCGGGGGCCCTCGAAATGCGGGCGATGCTCTGCTCTCCAGGCTGCGGATCCTAGAGAAGACCGGCTGTGTTCTTGAGGTTGTGTCCGCCCGGAGGGGACCTCTTTTTCTGTGCCCCCCAACACCCTGGAGTAGTCTAGCAGCACCTCAACACCTGATTTGTGAGCACATGTCCACACTGTACTGATGTGCGCCACAGCTCGGAGTGCTTGCCTCCCTAGACGTCCTGTCTCCTCCTGTGCCCTTGATGCCCCACTGAGGGCCAGGAGCCGCAGAGAGGAACGCCCTGGTGCCCGAACGGACTCCCACTCCGAGCACGGCTGTAGGCAGTTTCCTGCCTCGTCTCCGGGGGCTTGTTAGATGCTCCTGGCCGTGTGCCTATCCTGGGTAGGCCCGTGGTGACCATGGGGACTCTGGGCATAAGGGCCCACAGCTCCTCCCTCACGGAACAGGGAGAGAGGCATGGCAGTAGAGATGGCACCCCCCTCCGCTGTTACCCGCCCTCCCCCGCTGAATTCCCACCCAGGCTCCCCAGGGCCCGGATGCCTAGGGACAGCGGCCTGTGTCTATGCTTTGAAACCAAATCCCTAGAAGTGGAGCATCCGGGTGATGACTGGGGTCCTCCCTACGGAGCCCTCCTCACTGGTGATCCGCAGCAGACTCCTGGGACTGTCAAGGACGGGATCCCCCATTTGTGGTCTCATCCAGTGGCCAGGGCGAGGAGGAGGACCAGGGGCCCCGGGGCCAGCTGGACGGGCAGAGAGACCTTATGAGGAAGTTGCTCGTCGCTATGGAAGGAGCGCTTCAAGGGAGTGTGCAGAATTTTGGTTCTGTCGTGCTGGAAACTGGCGGTTCTGGAGTTCCGGGGCCGAAGGCTCCGAAGAGGAGAGGTGCCCGCTGGGAATCGTGGCCCTGGGTGTGTGCGCTGCAGGCCCGTGCGCCTCACAGCCTGGCCATGTGGAAAGAAACAAAGCAAGCCTGCTCCTTTGGCTCGTGCAAAGGGAACTATTGAGTTCCCTTATTTGGGCAATTAAAAGGAGTTCTTAATTTCCCCCTGCCCCAGAAGTGCCTGTCTGCAAAGGTCTGGACACAGGGCTTTCCAAATCAGATTGGAAATAAAGCCACAGGCCTGCAGACGGCACTCTGCAAAACCCCCATTGAGCTGGGGAACTGGGCACCGGCACAGATCGGCCGTTTGCCCTCTGACCCTGGAGCGGACAACCAAGGTCACGGCTGTGCTGAGAAGCCCCCAGTGCAGGCCCCCAGCGCCAGCTGGTTACCGGCCTCCCTCCTTGATGTGGCCTCCCGGCAGCCTCTGTCTTCAGCTGCGTCCTGTGCGGCGGCGGCAGCGTGGCCCTTCAGAGCCAAGTGGAAAGAACTGTACCTGCGGGTGCTGATAGCCGGGCTGGAAGCCTCGCAGCTGCACCACCTGGGGCAAGCTAGGCGTTAACGGCAGGACCCATCTCACGGGCTCTGAGCAGATTACGTGAAATAATGTATGGAAAGCGTTTGGCAGGACGCCTGGCACGTGCTGTGTCCCCAGTAAATCGGTAACGGCCTCTCTTCTTCGTCGTGGAAATTCCCCGCCTGCCTTGCTTGGTGAGGTTATTTGCATCGGGTTTGGTGGACCCCAAGCGCTGCCTACAGGCAGCCCTCTGCCGCCAGGTCAGGGATAGTGCAGATCCCCCCCCACTCCCCCCCCCCCCCCCCCCCCGCTCCGGCTGTGGGGTGGGAGACGAAGCGAGTTGGCCCCCAGGATGCTGAACTGAACGGAGTGCTCTGTTCAAGGGCTTCTGGTTCAGCTCTTTGAAATTCTGCTTTTCTCCAAGAGCGTCCTCTGCCTGGGGCTGGACCGCACCTCTCCTTGCACCCTGCCCCTCGCCAGTTCCGCTCTGCCCTGTGCCTAACCCACACGCGGCTGAGTGTCGCAATGCCCCTATGCCAGCCCAGCAAAACTCTAAGCTTGCACAACTTTGGGGGCACATCCGGAGGCACCTGCCCGTTCGTCGTCCGCACGAGGGAGGCAGGATGATGCAGAGCCTGGAGAAAAGGCTGGACTCGGGTTAGGTAGTCAAGCACTCTTGCTTTGTCCCCTTCTTAGAGGCCGTGGCCCGACCTCCACACTGCCGTGGGTGCTCAGGATGGGCGGGGAGGCTGCTGACAGGGCCCTCCCTGGTGGGTAGAGGATCTCCCTCCCCCTCCCCCCCACCCCTCCTCCTTGCCAGGCCCCCCTCTGTCCAGGATGGAGTGTGGCTTACATGGAGGTAGCTGTCTTGGGACAGAAGCGCAAGGTCCCATAGAGGCCATCTCCACAGTATGGGGCAGGACCCCTCCCTCGCCCTCAGGTGGCACACCTGGCGTCCCCACGTGCATGTTGCAGACTTTAGCGTCCAGAAGGTAGAAGGTAAGGTAATGTGTATAGAGCTACTGTGGGCACCAGGCTTTTAGTTTTCTTGTTTCCACCTGCACGGTAGGTGATAGTATCCCCATTTTATAGATAGGGCAGCTGAGGTTCAGAGGTGAAGTATTTCGTCCAAGGCATATGGCTCTGCCCCCTCTGGGATCTGACCTGTTCTCCGTGGGATCTCTCTGGTCTGCACTCGTGGCTCCTCTGAAAAGACCATCTTGACAGTAGAGGTCAGAGAGGTTGGCGGCCTGCGGTGAGGGCTTTTCAGTGGGGACGGTAAACAGAAACCCCTCAGTTTATAGTAACTCTTAAACAGGGGCCAGGTGAGCAGACTCGCCTCCTTTCTGGCCTCCTCTCAACTCCTCTGATGAGTGCTCCCAGGACGGAGCCCCCACCCACTGTGTGCCGGGCACCGGACGTGGCATTGAGCCATCTTGCACGTACGAGGGGCCTGGGGCCTGGAACGCCAACTCACATCGTCAGGGGCATGCAGCTGGAAAGGTTTCGGGTCAAGCCTTGGGCCACAGCTCTGCGACTCAAGAACCACATTCCCTCCCTTAGAACACCTGCCTCGAGCTTCGGTTGTGAAGTGTATGAAGGCGGCAAAATGGCCCAGGCTCAGCCCTGGAATAACTGATAGGTTATGTATTTCCGTCTGGTGAAGAGATATATTGAGGTCACTCCCTGGATGGGGACAAGGGGCCGAGCTGAGCCACCGATGGCGTGGCCACAGTTGCAGATACGGCCCCCTCAGCACACCTGGCCACGACCGTTGTGTCCTGGGGGGCAAACGTCTGAGACACAGGTTTGCAAACTGGGGGGCAGCAAGCCAGAGCCTGAAGATAGGTTTTCTTTGGCCTCCATGTGTTGTAGGGAATTTTAATTAGCTGCTGATCTTTTAAACTCCGGAAATTTTAAGTAAAAATCCAATTTTCCAGCTCTTCTGAAGATGTGGCAAGGCCGGGCCCGCATTCCAGTTAACGACATGCACCCGGGGCTGAGCGGCAGCCGCCTCTTCGGCAGACTCCTGCCTCCAGGGGGCTGCAGCTGCACCTGCCCTCGTCCCCTCTTTCCTGCCTCATTGGGCATCTGTGGTGGCCAGAGTGCTGGGTGTTTACTCAGAGCAGGGGTAGGGAGGAAGGAAGGCAGTAGGAAGGGGTGCGTGGGGCGAGTCCTGACTGTGACCCCCTAACCTGGGAGCGGGGTTTAGCACCTCTACGTGCTGCATTTATTCGGGCTTTCCAGCAGCTGCCGTGAGGGCTCCCTGTCAGAGATGCCGGGTCCCTGGTCAGGATGGCACAGCCGGTCAGTGAGGAAAGTCAGGACTCCCACGTGGGCACCGTGGGGCCCTATGCAGCCCTTGTGGCCTCTCTCCGGTCTCCCTGTGGCACTTCGCAGCCGCCACACTTCTGTCCGGGCAGGCCCTGAGCTCGCAGGACTGAGTGGTCAGTGCTCTGGGGAGGGGGCCGAGAAGGAGCAAGTGCTTCTCAGACGCAGTCTTGAGAGCGAGAGGCTTCAGGACCTCTAGCTCGTTGAATCGAGGGCCCCTGCCTGGACCAGAGTACCCCAAATGGGGACTTAGCAATCGCCAGTCACTCATTCAGTCAAATGCTCATTGAACAGCTTGGGCCTTACCTGCCTGGCCAGATGATCAAAACATGACTAAGACCATCCCAAGCTGCAGGATGCTCAGCTCGGTGGAGGAGACTGGCACAGAGCCCGTCATCGGACGGTGTGACCGGTGACGCCTTGTGAGGTGTGAAAAGGAAATGGCCGGCAGGGAAGGGGCCCTCGTCCAGCGGGGATTTCAGGAAGGCCTCCTGGAGGAGGTGAAACCCGGCTGAGTCTCCGAGGATGAGGAGGAGTTGAGAAGGAAAGGCGTTCCAGGCAGGGGGGCTGGCTGAGCTGAGATGAGCGTGGAGACGTAGGACCTTGAGTTGCAGCTTGGTGTCGCTCGGTTGAAGCGGGGGGGGGGGGGGGGGGGGGGGGGGGGGGGGGGGGGGGGGAGACGTGGCGAGGGCTTGGACAGCGGGGCACGGCTGAGCGTCTACGGGACCGCGACAGTTCCGAGAGAGACCCCTGGCTGCGGCATGGGGGCCGGGCTGGGGGCAGGGCCGGTTAGGAGCCTGCGGCCGTGTCCCCGGTGGGAAAGGGTGGGTGGCCTGGTTCGACTGTGGGAGCAAGGATCATAGGGGGGATAGACTTGGGGGTTGCCAGTGTCCGGATTGTTGCAGCGATGGGCGTGGGCGTGTGATCTAGAGGCCAAGGGAACAGGAGCGGTCAGGGGGAAAGCCTGGAGGGGCGGAAGGGAGGCTAAGAACAGACGCTAGAGCTGCTGGCGCGTGTGCAGATCCCAGCTCCACACTCTGTGACCCGGCGGCCAGTCCCGTCACCTGTCACCCTCACCTGAAAGCCACAGATGGTGGGACCGACATCACAACAGCCTTGCCAGGATCGTATGTCCTGATCCAACTAAATGCCTAGTGGGTGCTCTGGGAAGTTAGCTCCTGGGCGCCCCGAAGGACTGTGAGGGAGACAGGAAGTGACTCCTGAGGCCGGTGTGGCCGACACCTGGGGAACAGGGGACCTCCACACGGTGGGGGGCTGCGGAGGTGATGACTGCGCCCTGAGGCCTGGCTCCCAGTCAGGGGGCGAGGGGGAGCTGAGCCTTCTCTTCAGGAGTTTGGCTGCGACAGGGAGGAGGCAGGCACCCAGATTTCTTGGAGGAATATGGAAGGAGAAAACCTGCTTCCTGAGAGGCCGAGAGGTTGACGACACGGGACGTGGCCTCTGAGGAGATGGGGAGGCAGTGGGAAATTGCTGTCTCTAGCTGATGGTCCCAGCTTCGTTGGGAGGAGGAAGGCAGACCCTTGAGCAGTCAGGAGAGGGGTGTTGGGGAAAAGCCAGCCCCTGAGCCCCGGCCTGGGGGAGCTGACCTTGGTCCTGGCGGAGGTCGCGTTCTGGCTGCTCACATTAGGGCTCTGGTGGCTGGATGGGTCCAAGGGGGCGGGGGCGGGGGTGGGGGGTGTCTTTAAGGGGCTAGGGGCCGCCTGGTGATTCCAGCAGGACCTCATGGCCTACTTGCTTGAAGCCACGCAGCGGCCACTGGGGAAGCGGGCTTCCCTAGGTGTGCCTGCCCCAGGGACACGGGATGCTTCTAGGCTGGGCTCCCTTGACTTCTTACCTCTTTCTCGGTTACCTCGGCATAGGGAGACCTTTTGGCACACAGCCCCTCTTCCCCTGGTTGGGGACTCTGCCCCGGCCCTGGCCCGGGGACAGCAATGGGCCCGTCATTTCCGGTCCATCGGGCTGCTCGGGCGCAGCGCTCGGGCGGTGTGCCAGGAGGAGGATGTGCGCCCAGGGCGGCCGTCGTGCCCAGGTTTGCTGCGGAGTCAGCGCTCCCGCCCTAGGGGTGGTGCGCCCGCGGGTACAAGTGGGTTCAAGGGTCCAGTGTGACGCCCTGGGGGAGGAGCTGCTCCTGCAGAGCCTTTTAGGAGGCTCTCGGGGACTCGTCCGGGGCCCGGACCCCTTTCTGGGGACTTTGCGACTCGGGCTGAGGGGCAGCCAGCCACCTCCCTGCACTGCGGGCACCGTCCCGGCCCCTGACTGCACAGAGAAGCTGGTGTTCTCTGGCCTGGTCCTGCCGGGGCCTGTGGAGGGCAGGATGTTAGCGCCCGGTCAGCATCAGCGGTGGTGCCAGGAGCCGCCGTGGAGAGAAAGACGGGGTGGTGCTCTGAGTCACGGCCCTGCCGCCGCTCGCTGGCGGGGGCCGCGTAGGGAGGTGGGGACGGTGCCGAACCCTGTTCCTGTCTCACCTGAGAGCTCCAGGCTTCCGGCTGAGTCACCGGGAAGGGAAGAAACTCCAGCTGGGGCTGGGGGCTGAGTCGTTCCCGCATCACTTCCTGCTGAGAGTCCCGGAGTGGGGGGCGCACAGGGCCCTGCAAGCGGTGCCCGCACGCCCGGTCCAGCCTGCCCTTGCCAACATCCTACCTTCCCGGAGTCCTGGAGGAGCCGCCAGCTCCGGCCTGCCCGGGGTGGATGGAGAGGTTTGATCCCGTGCAGGAAAATGGGCCGCAGCCTCAGGCAGCCTCAGCCTTCTCCGTCCGGCCCCGATCCCGCTGGGCAGAGGCTGAGGGGGCTGTCCGAGCAGCGCGGGCAGCCGAGGAGCACACACAGGACGCTCTCTTTGCCACACAGAGAGCAACCTGGAAGCTAAGACGGAGCCTGAGGTATGGTTAACACTCCCAGGGAATGGAGCACACAAACACCCTCCCAGTCACCCCTCCACCAAAAGCAGCCCGGAGCAAACACACAAGCACGGACAAGCCTTGCGGTTGGGTGCGCAGACACACATACACACACGCGCGCACACACACATGCGGGCAAGCTCAGGCAGGGCACACGCAGACGTCTGTGCAGTGACTCTGGAGGTGACCCCAGGCAGCCGGGCAGGGCTCAGCTCATGCACACAGCACGTGCCCAGCCCGTTTCAGAGCTGATGGTCCCTGGTGAGACCCCCCCCCCACACACACACACCACGTGACCGGGTGCAGCCCTCGCCTGAATTGTTTTTAACCTCGAGGACGAGGGAGGCCCGGCTCTCCCAAACGGCCCCGCTCCTCTCGCTGGGCTGGATTTTCCTGCAGGGCTTTTGGATTTTGTTTTTGATCCACTCAAGTGTTGACTGTGTGCCAGACACCATGCCAACACTCGGCCGAAGTGTGCAGGGTTGTTGGGAGTAAAGCTCTCAGTAGATGTGGGTTATTATGTCTGTTGTTTACACACGGTCTCGTTTCTTCTTGTAACAACCCTATGAGGAAAGGGATTATTATTCCCATTTTCCAGATAAGGAGAGTGAGGCTCCAAGATGTTAAGTGGCTGGTCTTGGTGGCAGTTGGCTCCTAAGTGACAGAGGCAGTATTGGCACCCAGGTCTCTGACTCCTGAATCTGTACTCTTTTTTTTTTTTTTTTTTATTGTTTATTTAATTTTGAGATAGAGTGTGAGCGGGGGAGGGGCAGAGAGAGAGGGAGACGCAGAATCCGAAGCAGGCTCCAGGCTCTGCGCTGTCAGCACAGAGCCCGATGCGGGGCTCGAACCAGTGGACTGTGAGGTCATGACCCGAGTCGAAGTCGGACGCTTAACCACCTGAGCCACCCAGGCGCCCCTGAGTCTGTACTCTTCACTTCTGTCTCGTCTAGACTCTCGGTTGGGGAGGCAGCCCCACTGACTAGCCCTGGCCAAGTCCACAGGGCAAGTGGGGGACCGTCGGAAAGCAAGGCCTTCAGAACACCATGGCTTTGAGTGAGAGAGTCTCAGGGCAGGGGGACCAGGGAGGAGACTGCCCAGAAGGGAAATGTACGGTGTAAGGGGCCCCTCGCCCACACGTCAAGGCATTTGCCGTCTGTTTGCCATTTGCACGACTGTGTCCCCCACAGCACTGGAGGGGTAGCCCGGGCGGTTCTCCAGCAGCTGGGGCCCTGGCTGTGCGCTGGCTACGTGACCCTTGGCAAGATTTCCACTCCCTCCCGGGCCGGAGCGGGGCCGAGGTGCCACCTGGACGGCAACCTTATCTCTGACCTTTGGTGTTTGTGTTTCTGGACGGATTCCAAGTGCAGCCTCTTGCCCAGACTTCCAGGCCCCGCCCGGGGAAATGCGCCTCCTGCCAGGCCAGATAAGCACTGGGGGGTTTGAGGCAGCTCTTGCTTTCAGAAAACCGCGGAGGGGATGTGGAAGACGTTTGCCCTCCGTCTCTCCGACTCCTCGTGAGGCCGCTGGGCGTTGTATTTTCTTCCTTATCCCCATGACATGTATGAGGCCACTACATAAAGGTCAGGCCGTCGGCGCCGCCTGACAGGGGACCCATAGAGCGCTCTCTGTGGTCCTCGGGAATCAGTTCGTAGAACTGCACGTTGTCAGGCCATCCCAGGTCAGCGGTGGCAGCACCTCTCGGGCAGGCCTGGACCCAGAGGTCAGACCTGCTGGGCGATTTTGCACCCCCCCCCCCGGGAGGGGGAGCAGGCCTTTGCCGGCCGCTGGGACGGGTCCCTTTAGTGGGGTGACTCTTCCTAGGAGCGGAGTGTGGGAAGGTCAGACTCCCAAAGGCTCATCAGCGCACAATCCTGGCAGCACGATTGGTCCCCGTCATGTCTGGAAATTTCGTGGTTGGGAGAAGTGGGGGGTTAGTACTAGCAACTTTCTTTGGGTCTCCCAGTGTGTAGACTGCCGATAAGTGGTGAGGAGTTGGGAGTTTGAGGCAAAAAACCTAGAGTCCCGTGCGATTCTGGACTTCCCTCGCCAGGAGCCATTGTGAGGAGTGGCCTTGGGAACTCTGTCATCTTGTTTGCTGGCGGGCTGCTATCCATCTCGTGTCCCATGAGCTTTGCAAGGACATCCCACCTGAGGGCTTCCTTCAGCGTTAGTGGTGAGGCAAAAAGCTTAGTTTCTCCAGAAAGGCTGCTCTGTGTTCCTCCTCTTGGACAGTGAGGACAAGGTAACTTCATTTCCCTTTTCTCCCCAGCCACCAGGAGGCTCAGCACTGAATGTGCATCCCATCCCTAGTAGCTGTGTGAAGATCTCTCAGAACCTGCTTACGTGACTATGCCCTTACTTTCTGACTTAGATGTTTTCTTCAGATGCGTGTGTTCTCTCTACTCCTGAATTTAGCGCTTATGTTTCACTACGTTCTTTTCTTTATTTTCTCGCCCTTTGTGGAACCAGGCCGGCGGTATGTAAAAACACTCACCCTGTGAAAGCACGTGAAGCCGTCTTCACAACTGCTTTGTTGGGCATGTTACACTTTTTGCTTCCTCAGCTTCATGAGACGATGTTTGTGCGCGTGGTCATAACCGACTGGTCAGTTAGGCCATACCTGAGCGGGGGCAGGCGGCTGACTCCTGCCTGTGTTTCTTTTCTTATCAGCTGCTTAGAATTTTTAGAATAATTTCTCTTCAAATCCATGAGCCACTCAAAGCACAAACGGTACCCTGGTTGGATTGGTTCATGCGTTTCTTTCTTCTTATTTCCTTCCCATTGTAGGAGAGGAACCCGCTCGCTGTCAAATCCGAAAATGAGAAGTAAAAAGGAAAAAAAAAATTACCTGTATTCCCACTAGGGATTCCAGTTGTCAGCTATGATTCATCCTTCTGGATTGTTTTTTTCTTTCTGTTTATATTTTTTCCCAGAAAAAATAGGATCTAACTAGATGTACTGTTTTATAACCTTCATCTTCACTCAGTGGTAGATAATTAGAATCTTTCCTTTTGTTGCATATTTTATAACAGTGAAAGATAGTTAAGGTTTATATCCGGGATACATGCTCATAATTTGTTTACTTACCGTGAAAAGCAGCAAATGCCTGTCGTCCCCGCCCCAGGCCCGGAGAAAGGAACAACTTTTCATCATTTAGACTCTTTGTTAAGACATTGGTTTCCTCCACGTGGTTACGTGTTTACAGCACTATTTCTTGGCTTGTCTAGTTTTACCGATCGCCTGCTGAGAAAAATAAGGCTTTCCCTATCACTCCCATTACCCTTCCCCACCTCCTCCAGATAGTTTTCTACCACCGTATCGGGTTACCTCTGTAATTGAAAATATTATCCTTAGGAGTGCCCAGCTGGCTCAGGTGGCTCTTGATCACAGAGTCATGAGTTCGAGCCCCACACTGGGGGTAGAGGTTACTAAAAAAGAAATAAAATAAACTTAAAGAAAAATTTTATATTAAAAATTTTTAGATGCTTCTTTTCATTTAAGAGAGAGAGAGAGAGAGAGAGCATGAGTGGGGGCAGAGAGAGACAGAGACAGAATCGGGAGCAGGCTCTAGACTCTGAGCTGTCCACACAGAGCCTGACGCGAGGCTCGAACTCACAAGCCACGAGATGGTGACCTAAGCCAAAGTCGAATGCTCAACCGACTAAGCCACTCAGGCGCCCCGAAAAATTTTATACTTGAGCCTCAGCGTCTTGTTCCGTTAACCACTGACGGTATCTTGCGGCCCTTTTCCCTTAACTCCCCTGGCAGCCAGCATCGTGGTGTGTCTGTTGTACATTCAAGTTTCTGAGGTCAAGGTCAGTGACAATTTACATTCTATTTTATAATCATAAATCTTCCACAAGTTGACTGAATGGGAGTGAAGAGGTAAAGAGCAGTGCCCCATGTTTGTGTCCCTCTGCCTTTTTATTTTATTTTTTTTTATTTATTTATTTTTAAATGTTTTATTTATTTCTAGGAGAGAGAGACAGCGTGAGCACGGGAGGGTCAGAGAGAGAGGGAGTCACAGACTGAAACAGGCTCCAGGCTCTGAGCTGGCAGTCAGCACAGAGCCTGACGCGGGGCTCGAACCCACGAACCGCGAGATCATGACCTAAGGGAAAGTCGGACGTTTAACCTACTAAGCCACCCAGGTGCCCCTCCCTCTGCCTTTTTAAATCAGGCTTGCTGTAGGGTCAGGGGTGGGCTGTGCCCTATAGATCCTTCTTCTTGGGTCTAATGCTACTCCAAGGAGGTGTTCGGTGTCCTTTCTTTTATTCTGTTACGTGCTCAAAACCCATCACTTCCCGTTTTCATCGGCTTCTTACGTGACCATGCCTTTCTTGTATGCTTCTGCTTGCTTGTTTTCCTGGTGTTTCTAAGGCGACATCTTTTTTTACCAACTGCCTCGTATTCCATCGAGTGGAGTGCTAATAGTGATGTATTTTCATCTAGTCCCCTGTGGTTGGACACTTAGGTTATTTCTGATTCTTCATTAACAGGGATGGTGCTGTAACAAATGTCCTTGTACATTTATCTTTGGGCATTTGTATCTTACATAATGTTGGCGAGTCCAGGAATGCTGGTCCCCCTTAAACCTGATCGCCCTTGTCTCCAGCCCCTTGCCCCCACTTACCTTCAGATTGGCTTGTCCTAGAGGAAGAGGTTTCTCATGGGAGGTGTGGCCCCCAGGTTTATGTCCGTCTTTCTCTCGCAGGCTCTGAAGAGCGGCCATTCCGCAGATTCGAAGCTGAAAACGTTTCCAACTACACAGCCCTTCTGCTGAGCAGGGACGGCAGAACGCTGTACGTGGGTGCCCGAGAGGCTCTCTTTGCTCTCAACAGCAGCACCAGCTTCCTGCCAGACGGGGAGTACCAGGAGGTGAGATGATGCCCGGGGCTGGCCGGGCTGGGCAGAGGATGGCAGAGGGGAAAATAGAAAGACTGACCTCCTGGGTGTGAAGACGCAGATGGGGGGGGGCGGTGCTGGTGCTGGGCGCATCCTCCATTCCCACCCCCACACCCCCCTTCTCTCTT